TCCCTACAAAGACAACAAGAGAAAGAGAATTGATGAATAGTTGATTTTGATCCTAAGTCTTTGAAACGCTCAAATACTTTTTTAAGCTTGTGAATTTCCTTTCTTTCATAGCTATTAATAGCTCTTTTCAATCAAGTAAGCAATCTAAATCAATAAATAGCACTTTCAAAAATGGAAGAGCTTTTCTATATGGGTCATGACTTCATGAATTAAGCTACTGGTTATTATGCATGTTGATAAAATAAATGCTAAAAAAAGAAACAAACTTTCTTGATAAAACCTGAGCATCTTGTTTTTGAAATTCACAAAAATGTCACCTTATCACAAACCATCAAAAGATATACTTAAATCAAAGTTTAAAATGGACACAAAAGACCATAGGAAAGACCATTTTAATATTACAATGGGTCGATTTGTGTTTTCAAAATATAAGACAATCAAAGGACTATATTAAATGACGTGTGTTGGGTCTTTGACCAAAAAGCTTGATTTTTAAAAGATCTTTCCCAAAACTAACATCTCTTTGATTTCATTTCAACAATTAGATTTGAATAGACATGACCATTAAAGTATGAGATTTGATTCCAAAACAAGAAAGATTGTCGAACAAGAAAGAACATTGATTGAGTGTGCAGAATCCTTAATAGAAATGACATCAACTTTTCTCAATACCCCTTGAAGAGTTAAGTCACCTAGGGGTAATATAGCGGACTCTAAAAAGAAAAAAAACAAGCAATATTCAACTCAGCTAGGGGGCAAAGAAAGATGATTAAATGAAGAATTGATGAACGAAGGACAATATGGTTCAAAGGAAGATAATCAATGAACGAGCACATTCAGATCACATCGAGGGAAATGGTGTTAAAAAAAAACATTCCATGATCTAGTGAACTCCAATAATAATTGAAAACAACGCTACACTTGAGGTACACCCTCGTATCATCATCTTAGGGTTATCTTTTGAAACATGGCTATAATAGATGTTATCACATAGTTACATTTGAATGTGTCAGAAAGATGCATACCACTAAGACTAGGACATATGTTTTGAAGCTCAAAGACACACTTCATGGCATGAATATGGGTGATAAATTGGACATCATTAATGAGGCCAATACATTTCTTTTTGTAATCTGATTTAGTAAGATAAGAGGAATCCATTGAGGAGAACACTAAGCATACAACAAAGAGCTTTTTTACTACAAGCTATGAACTTGAGACAAGTTCATAACTGATTAACAATCTTGAAGGTTGTTGGCATGATGCGCACAATCAATGAGAGAACAATTCTTAGGATAATCCAAAAGATGAATGATTGGTTAAGCTCATTCGTGATGAATCAAGCAACACCACAATTGGAGGCACACTCATGCTTAATAAAAAATAAGAAAATTAATCATTAAAGACTGTCTGGATAGGCACGACACTTACAACTGAGTGGATGACTAGCACATGAACAGGCCAGTACATGGAAAAAGCAAAGAAGGCTTTTGGATAGCAAACGAAGGCACCTTATGATGATGGAACATCAAAGAAGGGAGACCTATATTTCAAATCACATAAGGATGCATGCATGTCATCTAACCTCAAAGCATTGTATATATATTTGTATTTGTTACAGGAAAATCCTTAAAAAAATCCAAGATTAAAAAAAAATCATTGAGCTGATAATAACAGAGCATCATGGTTATGACCTTGGTACAGGAAGAAGATGAGATAAACCTTACTATTAGGAAAATCTCAAATAAATAAAAAGATCAACCTTGTCATCACGAGGAGTCTTCAGGTCAACCCTACAATCAAGAAGCACCAAGTTTTCCAACCTTGTCATCAAGAAAAATTCAGTTAATTTCAATCATCATGAAGGACAAATGTCAACCTTACAATTAGGAAGGATAGATGTCAGTCCTGCAAAATCACAAAAAGAGAGCATCAAGTGAAAAGTTTAATCAAACCTTATCATCAAGAAGAAAAATCAGAAGAACCTTAACATTAGAAAATTATCAAAACAAGAGAAGAAAGTTCAAACCCTGCCATCAGGAAGAACACACAAGATTTTGGTTCTAGTTAAGGGGATTACCAAATTGGATCTCAGGTTAGCCCAACCACTCAAATTTTGGTTCTAGTTAAAGAGGATCGCTGGATAGGATCTTAGGATACCCAACCATATAGATTTTGGTTCTGGTTAAAGGAGATCGCTGAATGGTATCTCAAGTTAGCCCAACCACATAGATTTTGGTTCTTGTTAAAGGGGATTGCCAGATGGGATCTTAGGTTAGTTCAACCACACACAGATTTTGGTTCTAGTTAAAGGGGATAGCCGGATGGGATCTCAGGTTAGCCTAACCACACACAGGATATTGATTCTAGTTAAAGGGGATCACTAGATGGGATCTCAGGTTAGCCCAACCACACACATGATATTGGTTCTGGTTAAAAAAGATCATTGAATGGTATCTCAGGTTAGCCCAACCACATAGATTTTGGTTCTTGTTAAAGGAATCGCCAGATGGGATCTCAGGTTAGTTAAACCACACACAAATTTTGGTTCTAGTTAAAGGGGATAGCCGGATGGGATCTCAGGTTAGCCCAACCACATATAGGATATTGATTCTAGTTAAAGGGGATAGCCGGATGGGATCTCAGGTTAGCCCAACCACATATAGGATATTGATTCTAGTTAAAGGGGATCGCTAGATGGGATCTCATGTTAGCCCAACCACACACATGATATTGGTTCTAGTTAAAGGAGATCGCTGAATGGTATCTCAGGTTAGCCCAACCACATAGATTTTGGTTCTTGTTAAAGGGGATTGCCAGATGGGATCTCAGGTTAGTTCAACCACACACAAATTTTGGTTCTAGTTAAAGGGGATAGCCTGATGGGATCTCAGGTTAGCCCAACCACATATAGGATATTGATTCTAGTTAAAGGGGATCTCTAGATGGGATCTCAGGTTAGCCCAACCACATATAGGATATTGATTCTAGTTAAAGGGGATCTCTAGATGGGATCTCAGGTTAGCCCAACCATATAGCTTTTTATTTTGGTTAAAGGGGATCGCCCGATGGGATCTCAGATTAGCCCAACCATACAGCTTTTAGTTCTAGTTAAAGGAGATCGCTGGATGGGATCTCAAGTTAGCCCAACCACACGCAGATTTTGGTTCTAGTTAAAGGGGATAGTTGGATGAGATTTAGGTTAGCCCAACCACACGCAGATTTTGGTTCTAGTTAAAGAGGATTGCCAGATGGGATCTCTAGTTAGCTGATAAGACCAACCAATTGATTTCATCTTCTAAGTGCAGGAGTATCAAAGTAATAAATAACTTGGCAAGATCGGGGTCGAACCATAGGGAGGTTAATTGTATAAATTATAGATAATAATAATACAACAACAACAATAACAGTAGTAGTAGTAGTAGTAGTAGTAGTAGTAGTAGTAATAATAATAATAACAGAAGAAGAAGAAGATGACGATGATGATGAGAACTTTGAGATGGAAGATTAGCGTAAAGATTAAAAAATGATAACAATAAATGTCAAGGTTAGAGGATCCACTAATGGTATGTCAAACAAGTATAGTATAAACTCTTATTACTCAAATGGAAACCACACACAGAGGAGGTTTCAATCAGATTATAAATTGTTAACATGATTACATTAGTTATCTTATTTGAATAATGCTAATACTTATAAATATTGTTAGGCATTCATGCTTATAACTTATGTTAACAACCAATCAAGTTCCTTTCATAGCTTAGGTGTCGGTTATACCATACAGTGTGGGCTATGTAAGTGCTAAGCATTTATTGTATCAAGTGTTATATAATATAATTCCAGATTAGTCATTTAACAAGCAAAGTATTATAGAGTGAACAAAATAACAAAAATAAAACATGTTAGTATCAAACATTAAAGTCCATGTTGAGTTTACACTATATTTATTCTTACCCCATTAGTGTAACCTTTTCACCTTGACATAATAAACTTAGTTAAACATAATAAAAGAAAGAAAAATAAATAAACAAGATAAGAACATAAATAAGATAAAAGTTAACTAAGTAAAGGAAAGGAAATGAAAGGTATAAACAAGATATTAATGAAAGCAAAACATAAACATAACAAAAAATACAAAGAGAGAAAACAAGAGTATGATCTTGATCTAGAGACGAAGATGCCTAAATGAATGGCAAATGCCTCCTTTTATAGGCCAAAATTAGGAACTATTGATTTGATGACTAATTGATGAGTGGGTGACCAACTCTTGACTTGGTGACAATCCTTATCTTTTTTTTCTGCCCAAAATGTCAATGATAACGTCATAATTGGAACACTTGACACATGAAAGTTGTAAGAAATTTTCTCCGCTTTCCAGGAAAAAAAATGGAGGTTATTTGGACTTTCAAAACTCTAGTTATGGGCTAAACACTAAACAGTGCACGAGCTGTAGGATAGATTCAAACTTCTTTGTTATTGCTACAATTTGAACTTGAAAATGGGCTTTTTAAATCCTAGGCTCCATATGAAAGTTGTAGACCTATGTTTTACCTTTCTATCCACGTAAAATAAACCAAAATCCAAGATCTATAGTTCTAGATATGACCCAATTACACCAATATCTCTTTTCTAAGTTTGGCCATCTATTTGTCCTTTTAATTTTAGTTCTTAAACTCATCAATCAATCCTTTCATTTATATGATAGGCCTGCATTTAAAATGAACATTTACCACAAATTAAAATGGTGGAGATTTAAAACAAACATTTGGTATAGAAGTTATGTATCTCACATAGTAGGTCTGCAAGTTTGAGGTCAATTCAGTTAAACCCATATTTCTGGAAATTTTACCATTTGATGAAGTTAATATTTGGATATGTTATCCTTATAATAATGCATTATAACTTGATAGTATAGATTGTTTGAAATATTGTTCGTTTGTTATTTATGGTTTATAGAAATTGTGTCAAGGATTGTGTTTAGAAGAATATTGTTTAGAAAGTTTGTAAAATCGACAAGAATGTTTTATTTTGATGTTAAGAGGGAAGATTGGAATAAATAAGATAAATTGGCTCTTATAAAGATATTCTTTTTACAACCTTAAACGATATGTGATTTGGCTAGGGGTTGAGATTATAGCGAAAAAGTTAAATTGTGGATGTTGTGTGTAAATGGAAAGGTTAGTGAATCTTGATAGATTTGTCTCCTAACTTTTGGAGAGAATTTGAGTAAAAGGATGAGAGAATTAGGATCAAGTTTCTTCATAATAATTGTAGTTTTGGATGTTAGCTAACTAAGAAATTAGTCTTGCTTAATATGGAGTTGTAGAACCCCAACTATGGGTCATCAACCAAGATTGGGTCTTAATAAACCTTGTAGGGTAGTGTTTGTTGATGAGGAATTGTGACTATCTCAAAGGCAGAACCGGGTTCGCCTTCTTGAAAAGAACTTATAGCCTGGTAGAATGCATGACTGGGAAAAATGATTAACTAGCTTGGGCTAATGGCATCCAAAAGGATGGCCAGGATAAACGATTGACTAGCTTGGGCTAATGGCATCCAAAGGGATGACTAGGATAAACAATTGACTAGCTTCGACTAATGGTATCCGAAAAGATGACCAGGACAAATAATTGACTAGCCTTGGCTAATGGCATCTGAATAGATGACCAGGATAAACGATTGATTAGCTTCGGTTAATAGCATCCAAAGGGATGGCTGAGACAAATGATTGATTAGCTTCAGTTAATTTCATTCGAAGGGATGACTGGGATAAACGATTGATTAGTTTTGGCTGATGAAATTTGAAGGGGGATGGCCAGGATGAGTGAATAGTTAACCTCAACAAACGATGTCTTAAAAGAATGGTTAGATTTAAGATTATAGTTGATTGTAAGAATTGATGCATATATATATATGTATTGCAAGTTGTGTATACCAAGAACATAAAGGAACTACAAATGTCACGTTTCAAACATGAGGTAATGTTAATGCTTCATTAAACTGCCAGACCATTTTCTTATTGTTATTACTATTATTATTATTAAGTAATTGTATTCTTGTAAATGTTTTGTACTACAGTAGGGATGTCATGCCAATAAGGTGCCTAGGAAACCCGATACACGGGAACCTACTTTTGTAATGAATCATGTAGTTGCATTCTAAATCATGATATATTTTATATAAATCAATGTACTAAATGTATAACTATTATTAGATCCTTTTAGATTAAATTCGTGATGACTATTTGTTAGATAGAATACAAACTCATGACTATGCATGTATATTTTAAATTCAAACTTCTAATCATGCAAACATAATATCATGAGTTTATATAAGATTCACTTTTAAATGAAATGTTGATTGTTGTTGATGTATGGATTATATATTGATGTTGTGAAGGGAACATGTTCTCCAATTCCCGACACGAGGTCTGTCAAGTACAAAAAACAATTACTATTGTTTTGAGCTTGAAAAGCCTGGTTATTACACAACCACACACATGATATTGGTTTTGGTTAAAGGGGATCGCTGGATGGGATCTCAAGTTAACCCAACCACGCAAATTTTGGTTTTGGTTCAAAAAGATTGCCAAATGGGATCTCAGGTTATGGGAAAAAAACAGAGAAAAAGAAGAAGAAAGAAAGAAAGAAAGAAAGAAGAAAATAAAGGAGAAAAAAGAGAGAAAGAAACATATCAAAAAGGTTCTTAGATGAGTGGCAAAACATTGAGAAGTTTTGCTTTGTAAACATTGTAAAGAGGGGGCATCTGTTGCTATCTAATTTTTTACCTATATTTTGATAAAGTTTTAGAAAAATCTAAAAATAGCAAAACACAACGAAGATCCAAAAAATATTATATATATATATATATTTGTATCGTTTTTAGCATTTTTAGCATTGTCTCAAAAGAATTTAAATTTTCAAAGGTTTTTGGAACATGTTTCACTTTTAACACGTTATTTTTAAAATCACCGATTTTCCTCATTCAAGTCGATGTTGATAAGAAAAATCCAAAAAACTAAGAAAAATCAGATTTACAAAAAAAAAGAAAGAAAACTAAGAAAAATCAGATTTACAAAAAAAAAAAAGAAATTGAGGGACTAAGATTGAAAACCTAGCAATATTTTTACCTATAAATACTAGACTCTACAACACACATAAGAGATAGGGAAATTTTACACATTAAAAAAAAACAACAAAAAAAACCTAACCCTAAACCATCACTTCCAAAGCTAGCAACTGCCCCCTCTCGCTGGCCATTCGTTTTTCTTCATAGCAGCCTCTAACCCTCCTCTCTGGTCGCTTCGTCAACCGCAACAGTGCCCACTGATGCTCTCTAACACTATGGCTGAAAACTTGCGATCAGCCCGTAGTGTCTCAACCGTTGAGAGCTCTCCATCGGTATCGAGCACCCAGTCTAAGGAATTCATAGCCTTGAAACAATAATATGAACAAAACTCAACGGATTACGATCAACTCCATCAAATAGTCATGGAAATGAGATCAAGGATGAGTAATGATATATGTGTAACCCTTTTTTGGTTGTTCCGTCTCAAGAACAAGCAGCCTACTCCTCCAGCTCCGCCTCTATTTTTGTTTAATTTTGTTTTTAAAAACATTAAATTTGTAATGAATAATTGGATGAATATTATTTAACATTAGTTTTATATTTTTTATGTTTAATACAATTTTATTTGGTTTTTTTACTATTAACAAATATTTTTTTAAAATATTTTAAATAGATATATATGGTTTTACGGCATTATGCCACAATTATCGATGGATATATTCCGTCAGTGTTTACCTTTACTATTACCAACGGAATATATCCATCGGTATTGGACAAAGAGTTCTGAAATATTTACTGCCTATGCCACAATCACCGACTAAATATCCATGGGTGAGTATTGTTGACAATATAGATGGAATTATTCTATTAGTAAAGTTCTTGTGGGAATTTTTTTAGCGCGCATTGACGTCTATAATACCGTCAGTGTTCTGTCGATGTTCAGTTTTTTTAATTACCGACAGAATTAGCGGCGGAATGAGAAACTACCGACAATCAATATTCCGGCGGATATATTCTGTCGGTGAGTCCGTTGGTAAAAATGTTGCCGACGGCCTACATACCTTACACCGACAAAATTAATTCATCGATAAAACTATTTAATGGTGTAGTGTTAAGCCCTTAATAAATTCAATTAAAAATTAAAAAAAATATAATTGAACCCTTAAACATTCAATTTTAAATTTCTCTCATCAAGTTGAATTTTCTTTGTTAATAGGGTCTTCATTAATAAAAAAATATATTGTTAAATTTGTTAATTTTACATGCTTAATACTCCTTGAACAATCTTTGGCAATTCTCTCGGTATTTAAATATACACTTCTTACTGGTAAATTTTTTGATATTCTTTCAACATATTTTTATTTTTTTTGTATTTTCTCTTTCTTTTTTTTTGTTTATTTGGGGCCAAAAAAAGAGTAAGAACAATAATCACTGTATCGGTTACTTTAGTAAGAAAAATTACGGAATATGTGTGTCTACATGCTTTTATTCACAATCACAACCATTTGGCAAACACGCATTCTGTCACATCGTTATTCCAAATCTTTTGTGGAATGGCTAACTAGGCAAAGTGTCCCGAATCTTTTAACCTATTTGATCAGCACGATTAAAACAAGTTTTGTGGGATGGCTAACTAACCAAAGTGGTCCCGAAGCTTTTAACCTATACAAGAACTCTTTGCCCCAGGACAATAATTTGTCGTTTTGTCGAACAAGAGGAGCACGCTTAATGAAATGTAACAAATATTCCAAATCTTTGCACTCGTTCAACACATCAACTAGAAGGTGAAATAATGAGAATGACATAACCACATTTTCTTTTACCTTTTTCTATTTTTCTATTTTTTTGAAAACCAAAACCAATTGCAAAATACAACCAAAAAAATCCAAAAAAGATGTTCTTGATATATATGATTTATTTTCAATATTTTCAATGTCTTCCTAAAAGAATTCAAAACTCAAAGTTTTGTTTCCAACATGTTCAGCTACTAACAAGTCTATTTTAAAATTATTAATTAATTTTTCAAATGAATCAAGGAATATACGTTCTGAGTTGTGTTCTGAGTTATGTATAACTTATTCAATTTATTTGGGTCATTTATTATTTCTTATTCTTGTTGGGCAGTTAAGCCCATTTTAAAATTATTGATTAATTTTACAATTGAATCAAGGAATATATGTCCCGAGTTGTGTATAACCAATTCAATTTATTCGGATCATTTATTGTTCTTTATTCTTGCTAAGCAGTTATACTCATGGTTTACAACTTACCACTGGAGATGTGTATGAGGTTGAAATTCATGTTTTTATATACAATTATACTCAGTCCTAACAGTCTAGTTCG